CTCCTTGAGGAGAGACTTTGTTTTGGTTCACTGCTAAATCCTCAGGCCTGGAGTAGTTCCTAGCACAAAATAAGTGCTTCATAAATATTTGTTGAACAAATGATTGAAAGAAAGAGAGCAGCTGAAGAACTGTACCCCAAACTGGGATGCAGTGGAGAGAAACAGAAATCATGGATGGTGGGACCAGTGACATAGGCTATAAAAGGTGTGGCTTTGGCTGTAGGTAGGCAGAATTCTATTCTTCTGATTTGCTTTGTGCACAAAAAAGCGGTCTACGCTATCCATTGGGAGGATTGAGGAGAAGGCAGAATAAAATTGTGGTGGAGTTCCATCAGCAGCAAGACCCTTCAGTATTTCCTGCTTTTTCTGTTCCAGATGAGACAAAAGGACCCAGTGAAAGGAATGACAGCGGATGACTAAAGCCACTCCTCCCCCTTCTGCACTGTACGTACCGAATTTGTCCCTGAGCATGTCACAGAGGCTAAAATCAGTTTGGGTCCTCAGGGCCTCAGCAGCTTACTATGGAGTCAGAAAACCTGCTTCATTCCTTGTCCTGCCCTCTAGGAATAATGACAACTGCCATGCTAAACAGCTCTCAGGCTCCCATTGAAAGAGGTTATGAATATTAGGACATTTCAGGGCCTTGTGATTTTATAAAGAACTGCCCGGAGAGACATGGACAGGGTGGTGAGAAGTTGGGCTGGGGTGGGCGCAGTTGATGTAGAATTGATGCTTATCTGCAACTGATTACTATTCTCGGAACTCGAACCCTTTCAAGTTGAAGGTGGCATTCTGGGGTGCTCCCTATACCCCCATGCTGGCCAGACAGCTTTTCCTAGTGTTCATTGTCATGTCTGGTGCTTCATTTCCTTCCTCTTTATATCCCCTGACCCCATACTAAGTAGCTGTCCCCATCAGAGGCAGCATCTTTCAGATGCTTGGAGAGTATTTCTGCCCAGGTCATAGGACCAGGATGGGATGTCCTGTGTTTCAGATTGTTATTCTTCCCTAAGCCCCTTCTTTCTTTTAGCTCCTAATGCCCTGAACACCTGCAGACTTGCTGTTCTTCCTGCAGCTCAGTGGGGGCTTGGTCAATGAAAAACCTGGCCCTGCTCCCTATCAGGCTCCGAGAGAAAATTATTTTATCAAATAAAAACTGGCTGTCCTCCAGCGCTGAGAGGCTAAGGAGGCCTGAGGTCTCACCCTCAGCGGTGCAAACCTCTCCTCGCTCTCCCTGCCCCTGGTGCTTGAGGGAACTTCTGGGGGATAAAACGGTAGGATTAGTGGATTGTTGCAATGCCAGCTTCTCAGTCACTGCTTGGACCTTAGCTTCCTCTCTTCCCCTCTGCCCCCGCCACTCTGACTGGCATCCTTCCTCCTTTTGAAATTCCTCTATCAATAGTCATGATTTATAGTGTTTCTATTTTCCTCTGTTCCTTCCTTAATAATTGTATTTCTCTTCCAGTTTTGCAAGACAGTGGTCAACAGGAAGGCCCAGCAGCTCCACCCTCCCGAGTGACAGGCCATCTTCAGATGCAGCCTTTCTGTGCCCATTCTTCAGGCAACTTTCGATCCCTTACTGTAGCTAATTCTAGATACCCTTTAATATTGTGAACAAATAGACCGTCTGGTATTACGAAGCCCATGTGTGCAGGAGCCTGCTCCTCTGAGATATGTGGCGTGTAGGTTGCTGTATTTACAGCTCCTCCCTCTCCAACCATTGTGTCCTCAACCCATTTCTGTGTGCCCCCACCCCTTTATTTCCAAGTGACATTTTTAGTCTTTCAAAATAGCTGCCTTTTGTGATGTGGTGATTTAAATGATTTAAGTTTGTTTGTTTTCAACCTTGGGATAAACTGAGGTATTTTGCTTCCTGGGCAGATCTTTGCAATTTTGAGTGCTCACCTGGGGAGAGGGGATGAGTTAGAAATACAGAATTTTTTCCCCCAGTTCCACAGAATAGCAACATGGCTTCATAACTCTGACCTCTGCTCCCAGTAACTCATTGTTAGAGTGCCCTGGGCACCAAGGATGTACCTACCACCCACATTTGAAAATTTAACAAATACGAATAACCCCTGCCCCAGCCATTGCATCTCTGGTCACTATTCTTAGAAACACCTATGGCTTCTCGGCCCTCCTGTTGCCCATTCTGTCTCAATCTCTGCAAAGTCCATAATATGCCCGGGTCAACTTTCCACCTGGAGAGACCTGTCCAGTGTGGCCCTTAGAATTGATTCTGCCCGATATAATTAGTCTGCCCCCCCAAGGAGCTCTGTATGTCCATGCTCCTCTTCCCTTTTGGGCTGGTGCTGCCACTCAGCAATAATCCTCTCTTCTCTGTGCTTTCTGAGATTCCTGTCCTCTGTCTTTGAGGCTGGTCAGGACACAAGAGTCCTGATCTTTTCATGCTGCACAAAATGAGCATGCAAAAAGCTTCTTCCCAGCAGAACATGTTCCCTCTTGTCTCCAGTTGCTAAAGGAATGTGGGGATCAAGAAATCAGCTTGTCCTGCCCCCATGCTGGGTTCTGTCCTGGACAATCAAAAGCAATTAGTGATCGTAGTGCAGAACTCTACCAGATTGGGCCAGTGAGGGTCCAGGCTCCGGGGGAATAGAAGCAGCTGAGTACTTCATAGTTTCCTATGACCTGGCAGAACCCGAGTATGCCTTCATGGTGGGAAAATATGAGATAGCTGTGGTGTCATCTGACATTTCCCAAACCTTGTGAAGTGTACTGGCTGAGTGTGCAGTGATCCAAGCCCACGCCAGCCTGGGTGCAACTGCTAATGAAGAGACCAAATCTCTGTTAGGGGAGTGAGAAATAGGATGGGAGAATTTTTCCTTATGTTTTTGTCAGTTTGTTTTGCCTTACTCATTTCTAAGTGCAATAAGGGAGTGTCTCACAGTGTGACATCCTAATGGATGCTTCCCTGTGGCCCTCCTGGGGCAAGAGTGGACAGACTCAGACCCCTCAGGTGGTTAGCTCCGACCTTCACTGAGGCCCCTTTGGGACCAGGAGATGTCCTGTTACGCTCCTTTCAGTCTCCTCACCTTGTGAGGTCCATAGTAATGGATCTGGGGCAGTTCAGATGGTTATTAGCATCCCAACTGCTAGTAGCCTTTATTTGACTGAGAAAGTTGAGGAGGCATTCCTACTGGAGAAAAATGTAAATGTTTTCCTACAAGCTCTGTATTAGCTATAATTATATTTGTGCTTAAAGCTTTCCCTTCTTCATTCATCAACTGAAGTCCAGTTGTGGGTTATCCTGGGAGGAACAAATGGTGATATTCTAAGCAGACAGTTGTTTATGTGGTTTGGGGGTCAATAGATGTTAGTCTCCTTCCTTCAGCTCTTCTCTGAGATCCACACATATCACTGCAGCTCTAGTGGGGGCTCGTTCTTTATCTGCCTTTTCTGCGGCTCCTCCCACCTCCACCTGTTGCCTCAGTTTGAAAGCATCCACATAAGCTGAGCTAGAATTGCCTTAGGTCAGCTGGATCTGGGGCTCGAGCTCACATAAACATAAGGAGGGATGTCCCTGGTCTATTCCATACCCATGGATAGTGTTGCTGCTGGGCAACGGTGTTGGCTTCTTTTAAGTACTCACCTACCCTCCTCACCCACCCCCCAAACTGACTAGCACTCGGAGAGGCTTATGATGAAAGGCTCAGCTCCAGGGGTAGTACCTGAGGGTGTGCCACACCCCTTCAGACCAGCTGCTTCCGTTAGATTTCCAGGGTCATGGTCCCAGTTGGAAGCAGCAGTGCCTCTGCAGGAGGGGTGCTGGGCTCTGGCCTTCTCAAGGAGAGGGGTCAGGGACAGGGTCAGTATTGGGGGCACGTGTATATCTTCCCAAGTTCTCTTACAGTCCCTGCTGGGACTCCCTGACTTATTTTGGTTGGTTCCTAGTGCTACTTCTTTTACAAAATACACTTTGTAGAATTGATTAGATTACCTTGTTTATTTAATGTGAGTTTGTGCCTTTTTGTCTCAATCTTCCAATACAGGTATATTGGGGAAAAAAGCAGTCTAATAAAATCCTAGACAGAGCTTTCTGGAGTCCAGCTTATTGGTGATGTCCTTATATCCATTTTACAACTTAGATATCCTCAAACTCTTGCTGATGTCCCCCATTTTACCAGGGAAGGATTAGGGGAATGTGTAAAATATCTCTGAAAAATTTTGCAGGTGGATTTCCGTAAATTAGAACATCACCTTGTCATTTTACTTAGGCAAACATCATGTATCTGAAAGTAATTTGGCCATTTTGTACTGGCAGTATTTCCTTTTTGCCTTCGTCTCCCCTCCCCTTCACATCTCCACAAAACCTTCAAAATAGGCATTCTTACCGGCTTCTGGGTCTGAGACCCTCGTGAAGCTTGTTTGTAGAATTGTGTGTGCATTTTTCTGGGGAGAGTCATGGCTCTCATCAAATCCTCAAAGGAATCCCATGCATCCTCCCAACCCTCGCCAAAAAAAGATTAAGAACCAGTGATTTGAAAGAAGTAGTTAATCTTTGGCAAAGTAAATAATCTTCATTTCATGTTTGGTAGTAAAATAGAGGCAGTGACTTATTTTTCATTCATTGACGGCTAATTTTCTAAGAGTCCGGGAACCTCCAAACGTCCAATATGAAATAGTCTGAATGAGTCTGAATAGCGAAAAACACTTGAAAGTGGGCGAGGGGAAGAACTAAGAATGGAGGCGCGCAATGGCCAACACGAGAGAGATCACCTGCAGTTGAGGGAAAAGAAACTGGATTAGAGGCAGGACAACGGCCTGGACTGCCACAGCCACCTCCAAGCCCCCGCTTTGGGCCGCTGGGCGTTGGGGCGCTGGAGGGAGACAGCGCAGAGGGCAGAAACCTCGGGCCCGGCAGGCGTGAGACGACAGTGCTGAGGCGGACCGCGTATGCCCGCGAGGGCGTGGCGGCGGCTTCCGCCGGAAGTCGGCCCCTCCCGGCCGGCCTCGCGCCGGGCAGCCTGGGAGCCGCGGGGGAGGCCGAGGCGCCGGGTGGGGCGGCTGTTGCGTCGGGGTTCTGGTGACGCGAAGACACGCCTCCCTGACGTCCCGGGTTCCCTGAGCCCCTTTCCTCTCAGCCTTTCGCCGCTTCGCGCTCGTGGGAGAGTCCCGCCTCTTCCCCGGGCGCACCACCCAGGGCACTCCGTGTGCTCAGCCCCGCCTCTGACGGAGGCCGAGGCGGAGGGTCAGAATCCGGAAGAAAAACAAGCCGGCGAGCGTGAGCTGACCGGGACCTGCTGCCTGACCGGGATTCATCGGGCCGGACTGGCTGGGGCGGGGAGCCGGCCGGGTCACCGCGTGGGGATGATGGAGGCCGTGAGCCCACGGAAGCCGACCGAGCCGAGAGTCAGCCAGCTCAGGTGAGGAGGGCAGCTGCGGGCGGGCCAGCCCGCCCCAGGCGGGACCACTGCCTCTGACCCAGTTGGGGCTGCGGATCGGGGGCAGAACCAGATTGGGAGAGAAGGGACCGGGCCTCCAGGGCTGCTGCTAGTTCGGAGGCCCTCCTAAGTGCTCCCAGGCCAGTGTCGAGCGGCTGTGTTGGGCCCGAGCCCCGCGCCCCCTCTAAACTCAGGCCACCGAGCTCATTCCCACTTGGGCGCCCCAAGCAGGTGTCTCAGATGGCTTCTGGAGGAGGCAACAGTGTTGGGCTGTTTGAAGTCAAAGACGTAACAGAGCATTCTGTCCTCAGCTTTAGAGTAGAAATCTTGTTCTTTTGATCAGCACATACATCATGAGATCTGCCTGATCCCGTTGTAACCTCCTGAAATCCGAAATCAGATTTAGATAAGATCCTTTAGTGAAGTGATATAGCCTGGTCCCATGCTTGCTCTTTAATGAGGAACAATGCTAATCGCAAACTTAGTGCAGGTCACGATGCGAGGATTTGCTGCTAATCGTCGGACCTGAGAGTGAGGGCAAGACATCCCGACTTTTGCTCTCCATCCGCTTAGAGCAATTCTCTGGGAAAACAAGGAGCTTTGGAGTAAAAGGGCTGCCTTCCTTAATCCTCTGTTGGACAGCAGGGGGAGATCGTAAACAAACGAAGCACAGAATCTCTGGCTGAGTGCCTGGGAAGGTGGTTTTTGTATTTTGTTGATGTTCATAGGGAGAGGCAGGAAGTTGCTTTAAGCTGGCCAAGAATTTCTTCAAATTGTGCTTTTTAGAGCAGGGACCTCTAAGAACAGGGTCTGGCAGAGAAGAGATGTTTTGGGACATCCTGCCCTTTTCTCTCACCTCTCCAGCCCCCTATACACTTTCCCATTCTAGATCTTCCGCTGCTTCAAGTCCTCCACCTCATGGTGAACCCAGGACTCACTGGAGGCTTGGTGGCTGTTCTTGGTCTTTGCAGTGTTTGTAGCCCCTGCCTGCTCTGTATGCAGCACAGTCTGGGGCTTCCTTGGAGTCTTGCTGTAACTATTCAATTGAATAGATGTGCAAGTCTCTCCTTCCCCTGAGCCTCTGACGGGATCCAGTGTTATTGAGAGCTGCAGTCTAGTTCTCTTGCTTCCCTAGGGGCTTATGTGAGGCCAAGGTGGAGGATGTTATCCAACTGATGCCTTTTCCCAAAAGGCGGTAGACTCTTGAGAGAGATGTTAAGAAACCTGTGGTTTAGAATCTTCTCTTTAGGCTCTCTGAAATGCTTGACAGAATTTGTTGTGCTCCAGGGATCTGCTAGGCAGGAGTGAGGAAGGGAATGTGGTGGTGCTATCTCTGTTATTTTTTAAATTCTCCTGTCTTGTAGTGCTGAGGCCTCTCACAAGGTGAAAACTGAACCTCTAGAATCTTTCTGGTGGTCTTAGGAACCCGTGAGTTGAGGGGTTGGGGGTGGGAAATTGCTGACAGAGCCATAGATGATAGCTGAGATGTGAATGGCTGGTAGAATTAAGAAATTCCTGACTATCCATCCCATCCCCACCCTTTCCCTTGCCTGATCCTGAAACCTTTGGGCCCACTTTGGCAGCTGTCCTAGTGTCAGCTGCACCAGTGCTGCCAGCTATGGGCAGCTGTGGGCTTGCATAGAGGAGCCAATCCAGGGTGGGAATGTCCTGCTTCAGAGGACACAGGTAAAGATGAAGGGCTTGTAGTTCAGTGTTCCTATTCCCACCACCAGATGCAGAAACTCGCATTTCCCATTAGGATCGCAGTGGATTGTGGTGCAGCCATTAGCAGACCTAGACCGCTGTCCATTACCTGGACAAGGTCTTATCCCTCTTCCTCCACGACCTACCTTTGCATCCCTTCCACAGCATACATGTTGTGACATGGAACGTGGCCTCTGCAGCACCCCCTCTAGACCTCAGTGATCTGCTGCAGCTGAACAACCAGAGCGTGAATCTGGACATGTATATCATTGGGTAGGTGTCTGCAGGGCCTTCACCCATCCCTATATCTGAGATCAGGTAAGCCTGACCAGTCCCAAGTTGTCCCCCTGGGGAACCCCTGTAACCTGTACTCCCTCACTCTGGAGTCTGAAGGCTAGGAGCTTTCAGCCTGCATCAGGGCCAGTTGGTGTCTCTTGTCCTGGGTCAGCAATGACAAGGGGTTGGCACTCAACAGCTAGGGGAGGGAGAGCTTGTGATCATGAAAACCCAAGAAGTGAAAGTCTGCTGAGGGCGGTGCTAAATGTGTGTGGTGGGGGCAGTACCCTCCAGGCCAGGGGGAGAGCCTCTGACCTGGGATGGGCAGTTTGCAGGAAATGAACTCTGGGATCATGAGCTTCCTTTCTGACACTGCCTTTGAAGACCCATGGAGCAGTTTCTTCATGGATGTGCTTTCCCCTCTGAGCTTCATCAAGGTAACTTACAAGTTCGTGGGCGATTGGGAAATGTGTCTCACCTCTTGTCGCCATTCCTTAGTCTTTGGTCTCCCACTCAGGCTTTCATGCTGCTTGCTGTTCATTTAAAAGCCTAAACCTCAGTTGCATCTGGCTCCCTGGAGCTCCTGCCCGCCTTGTGTCTTTCCAAGGTAGCTGGAGCTGAGCTGGGACCAGAGGGGTTAGTTTAACGCCTTGATATTGTTCAGGTTGGGACAATTCCTGAGGAGGTGCCGCAGGGCATATTGAAACCTCGGTGCCTACCCCACCCTCGGCCTCTAATCTCTACTCACACGCCCAACCTGAAATCTCTGAGTGTAATAATAATTGCTACCATTTATCGAGTGCCTACTTGGTGTTAATCATTATACATTAGCTCTTTACATACATTATTTAAAAATCTTAACTCTCTTGAAATATGGGTATTTTACAGATAAAATCAACACTCAGAGGTTACACAGGCTATCTGGGATTTGAATTCAGATCTTTCAAACTTTATAACCCATGTTCTTAACTACTATCCTTTATTGCTATACTGGTGAGCTGTAAGGCTGACAGGTATCCCATTGCTAGCCCGCTGGTATCAGGGAGTATCCTCTGATCATAGGGGACATGCACCTCAAATTTTCAGGTACCTGGAAGTTAGGAGAAGGGAGATAAGTGTGGAGGAAAAGGGTTCTCAGTCTGAAGGGCCAGTATTCTTTGGGGAATCTTTAGACTATAGGAGAATCCACAAGAAGGCTCTAGATTGCTGGATCTTGCCTTTCTGCCCTACAGAGCTGAGGGATGAAACACTCCCATTTAAAGCACCTAGTACAGTGCTTCCAGGAAATAGCAGAATTCCTCTGTTCCCTTCCCTGGGTGACTGAATTTCTTCAGAATTAATTCTGTTACCCTAGTTTGTCTAAGGGTGCTGAGGCAAGAACTGTGACTACTCCTGAGGAGGGCAGAGCCAGGGAGGAGGGAGTACAAGATTTGGTCCTGCTGCTGAGGCTAGAAAATGCCAGCCACCAAGCCGTTGGCTCCCACCAGATCACACTTGGGCATCTTCCTGTACACTTGGAGCTAGCTCTTCTTGGAGGGCAGAACCACTTCTCTCTCACCACCCACTCCCTTCCCAAGACTGGAGGCCTCCTTGTACCTCGGCTAACTGGCAAGGGATTGCTAGAGTGGAGTTGAGCCAAGGAAATTAGCTCAGCTTGTGGCATGGACACAACGCATTCTGCCCATGCAGCCTCCCAAGGTTGGGAGGCCAACCTGAGGGCCCAGCACCCAAAGCAGGTGACCCTCTTCCCCAAGCCAAAAATTGAGGTGGAGGAGTGAGCCCTGCTTGCAGCCTGTGCCTTGCGTGGGAATTTGCCAGCCATAGATTGAGAGGCCTGGGGCTGACCCGCTGTGCCAGCTCCAAGGCTCCCCAGCTGCCTCCCCCTAGTCCATTCCTTAGCTCCTCCCACTTCATTTCCTCCAACCAGAACTTCCCCTGCAAGTCTCCTGCCTTTCCCCACAGCCCCACCCATTCTCCCAATCTCAGGCTTTCCTGCCCTACCCCCACCCCCATCCTCCCTGCCCCTCTACTTCCCTACTCCTTCACAAAGTAGACTATTGGTGGAGCCCAGTGGCCCAAACCTGCTCTGTGGGTTAGGATTAAGCTTGAAACTCTTCCTAAATCTTTATCAGTTCCCTGAGAGTCAGTCCCTCATAGTCCAGCCCTTCCCCAACTTCTCTTGTCATATGCATATGAAGGGGCGTGGCCAAGACTGAGGGTGGAGAGTGGGGCTGGAGACACATTTGTAGCAACCTCTGCCCAACCCCAGGTTCTCACGCCTCCCTCTCTCAGTCCTGGGCTTGGGGTTCCCCCTGCTTTGACTCCTCCACTGTGCCAGAGCTCCTGGCCTGCGGGATCAAGTTTCATAATTCCTGGAAGGCCCCAGTACATGCTCCCCACCCGGGGATTTCCTCCTTGGCCTCTGCACCTCATGCTCCGGAAACAGCTACTCTGGTGGTGTGTGTAGACAGCCTGAAGCTGATTCCCACCCTACCTCTGTGGCCGCGGAGAGCAGGGCTTTTGGCAGTCCTGGTCCTTTGACGTTATCCAGGTAGTTTTACTGGTTCCTTAGTCTCCTTGAGCCTCAGTCCATCTGCAAAACAGGGACAGTGCTTCCTTAGAGGATTGGTGTGAAGATTAAATGCAATCTGAAGCACTTCAGTAGATGGTAGGTAGCTATTCTCCCCAACCTGGGAACACATGTCCTCTGAACTCACTCTCATCCCCAGTGTGTTGCCTTCAGGGACATCCAACTGCCTGCAGTCTATAATTATTTTACAGGAGCATTTTCATAATTTTTTTTCACTAAAGTATAACGTATGCAGAAATTAAGTGTATAGTTTGAGGGATTTTTATATGTATACACACCCACGTTACCACCAGTCAAATCAAGATACAGACTATTTCCAGCACCCTAGAAGCCTCTCTCATGTTCCTTTCCTGCATTTACTTTTAAAAATCCTTAAACCAAAAAATAATAGCTGACAGTTAATCCTTCCAGCATCTATGAGATAGAGTCCTAATTTATCAATGAGAAAATAGACGGAGAGACTTGCCCAATATCAAATACTAAGAACCAGAGCCAGAATTTGAACTCAGGTCTGGCTAACTTGAAAACCAGTGCCTTTAGCCACTATCCTGTATAGCAGCATTCCTCTTTGAGGCCCTGGCCCGTGGGGATGGCAGCCTAGAGTAACCATAGAACCTCAAGAGGGCATTGGTGAGAGGAGCACCTGGCATGCATGGGGCTGGGACTGAAGAGTTGATGCCCTCCTGGTGGCAGGGTGCCCTGGCGTTCTTGATTCACTGCCCTCCATCCCCACGCCCAGGAACAGAAACAAACTTGCACAGCTCCCAGAATGCATCACTTGGCAGCTAAAGGGAATAAAACTCTGACACTTGAACTGAGATAACATACACCCTTGGGTAGGGCATCTCTGTGGCTCAGGGCTCTCTAGAACCCCTAGCACAGGGCCTGGCAGGGACACACACGGCCTGTGCAGGGAAATGAATGACCATTGCCCCCCCTGTCCTGCAGGTCTCCAGTGTCCGCATGCAGGGGCTCCTCTTACTGGTCTTTGCCAAGCTTCAGCATTTGCCCTTTATCCAGATTCTCTCTACTAAATCCACCCCTACTGGCCTTTTTGGTTACTGGGTAAGGACTGAGCTGTTGTCTGGGTCATGAGCTGGGAGGCCTCCTGTCACTGGGCTGGAAAGGAATGGGGGCTTTAGAGCTGGAGAAATGAAAAAGGGGGTGAAATGAATCTAGGCACTCTGTCTAGGCCAGTGTCCTGCATACCCACTCTCCTGCCTCAGGAGGGCTTAGCATCCCTGAGACCTCAAGCTGGGTGAGCTCAGCTGTAGATGGAGAGGTCACTCTGGGGAGCTGAGTGTCTGGCCCTGGGTGATTCTGCGCGAGGTGAGGCCATCTCCCCTCAGGCCTAGGAGGGGAAAAGAGAGTTGTGTCCCACCCTTCTGCCCATCTATCCTACCAGGGGAACAAAGGGGGTGTCGACATCTGCCTGAAGCTTTACGGCTACTATGTCAGCATCATCAACTGCCACCTGCCACCCCACATGGACAACAATGACCAGCGCCTGGAGCACTTTGACCGGATCCTAGAGATGCAGAATTTTGAAGGACATGATATCCCCAATATCCTGGACCATGAGTGAGCGTGCAGTTGTGGACTGCCGCCCCTGCCCTCTCCCCAGCACCAGCCCAGGCTAGCGTCCCCTGCCCGTTCTGTGTTCCCCAGACAGAGGCAGTTTGTGCTCCATGTCCCACCCTTCCCAGCCTCTTTCCTGATGCCCCAGCTGCTTGCCTAGTCAGCTTTGCCTGCCTGAGGTCTGGGACCCTTTCCCCAGTCCCTCTGTCCTGCCTAGAAACCCTGGACACTTCGGAACATCCCAGGTCAAGAACCCTGTGGTTCCTGAGGTCCGAAAGGCTAGTTCTCAGCCTTGCCTGGTGATCAGTTGAGAGAGAGGGAGGAAGGGAGGGCTAGAGCCTGTTCTGTATTTGCCACTTGCCCCTCGGGGCTGGTCTCTTTGGCTTAAACGGTCAAGGAGAGGCCATGAGAACAGTCCCATTGGACCCATGCCCTTGTCTTCACCTGATCCTGTCCCAGTATCTGGCTTCTTACCTGCCCCCTCGAGCTTCTGTTCCAGCAGCCCCTGGAATGAGCAGGCCTGAGCCACCTGTTGCTCCTCCCATCTCTGACCTCATCCCAAACCCTCAGGCTCCCTTCCTTTCTTTCTAAAGCCTCATTCTCTGGTTTGGAGACATGAACTTTCGGATCGAGGACTTTGGGTTGCACTTTGTTCGGGAATCCATAAAATATCGATACTACAGTGACCTGTGGGAGAAGGATCAGGTATCAAGTGAGGGGAGGGTCCAGAGGGGTGATCTGAGCCTGTTGGTGGAGGTCCAACGTGAAATGTGGGGAGTGTTGCTCCGGTTCCCTAGCACCTGTTCTCCTCTCCCAGGCCTCCAAAGTCCCTGTTCCCAGGCAGGGAGGAAGCTAACAGGGCTTTGCAGCTGGGGGTGGGGCAACCAGTTCTGTTGGCATGGTCTTCACCTGGAGGAGCTAGGGTACGGCTGCTGGGTATGCGCTAGAACAGGGAACAGGAAGGGCTTTGGCCTGCCGTGGCCCTGCACTGCACAGCAAACCTCTTGTATCCCTGTTGTCTTTCCCATCCCCAGGCATGCTTGCCTCCTGGAGGATGAGCTACAACCCCTTTGGGGGACCCTGGCTACCCCAGCTTCCCCTGTGATACATGTCTGCTAGGGGCTCCCAGAGAAATGGAATTCGAAGCCTAGTCCCTATAGTCCAAGGACTGGGAAATGGCAGGCAGTTACCCCCTGCCCCGACCCTGTCCCCAAACTATGGGTTAATGTTTGCAAAAGGATTCAGCTGCTCTCCTGAGGGGGCGGGGGGCGACGGGGAGGGGCTGAGGTTGCCAGTGAGGCAGTGAAGAAGTGAGGTGGTGTTGCTTGACTCTTACTCTGCCGTGATGGCATGTGCTGATCCCTTGAATGGAGTGTGGTGCTGGGCCATTGGGTCATGACTATTGGGAGATGGGACTGTGCCTTTCTCTACAGCTCAGCATTGCCAAGAGACACGACCCGCTGCTCCGGCAGTTCCAGGAGGGCCCCCTGCTCTTCCCGCCCACTTACAAGTTTGATAAGAACTCCGACAACTATGACACCAGGTGAGGGGGCTCCACCAGAAGAGGATCAGCCTGCTGCGGATCTGGAATTACCTTGTGAGGAGGAAGTGGGCGCCAAGAGGAAGTCAAATTGTGCTGGCCCCAGTAGCAGTGGGAGCTGCCTCAGAATAGAAGTGTTAGGGAAGCAGGAATAAATCCAGCCATCTCAGGAGTGGCGCCTCCGCCCCCGTCATGAGGCACTGACTATGGGAGCTGTCCCAGATTATCCTTGGAGCAGGAGCGGGAGGCGACACTGGCAAGGATGGGCAGTGGGGAATGGGGCAGGTAGGGCCAGAGGAGAGAAGGGAGGCAGCTGATTCCTGACTTGGGAGGGACTGCACTTCAGCATTCTGGGAACCCCTGTCCCCACTCCCCAGGGCCTCTGGTCCTTCCTAGACCGGGGCAGAAAGCTTGGCTCAGCCAGTTACTTGTACCCCCTGCCCCAGCTGTGAGTGGGTCAGGTACTATTTAGGAAGATGAAGTAGTTAGTTGTCAACGGAGAATTTCATGGGGAACAGTAGAGAGACAGTGCATGTAGTAGTTAGAAGCACAGCTCTGCCCCTCATCAGCTGCATGACCTTGGACAAGGTATTTAAAACTCAATTTTGTCATCTGTAAAATGGGAGTGATAACAGTACCCACTTCATGGGGTTAAGGATTGCAGGAGAGCTTGCATGTGCTTAGCCCACTGCCTGGCCCCAGGAAGCACTGGGATAACTGCTGTTGTTAGTTTTAGTCTTCAGGTGGTAGTTTTACTGAAAACCTTTCTAAGAAGCTGAGAAGGGGCCAGGTAACCACCAAAACCTTAGGCTTAGGCAGAGGAGCAAAAACAGGTCTGGCAGAAGCTCCCTAGCCCAATTTAGAGCAAGGATCCTTATCCCTTTAAAGAAAAAAAGAACGCCTTACATGTAACAGGGCTTTTTGTTTCACCTGGAGCAGCTCCTTCATTTATTCCTCCTAGCGGGACTGTCTTAGGAGGATGTAGGAGGTGCCTCGAGGGCAGCCCCAGCCCCTGGGATTTAGAGGGGGAACAGACATCTCCAGAGCCAGGCCAGGATGAGAGGTAGAACTGCTAGCCCAGTGGAAGTGGTATGGCAGAGCCCCAGTGTGCCTGCCAAGGAAGGGGGAGAGGGTAAGCCATCTCAGGAGTATGGAGCAAAACGGAGTGGGGTCATGGTCAGGGCAGTGCACACAAGAAGAGGCCATGAACACTGGAAATAGGGTCCAGCCTGGGCAGCAAAACAAGCCAAAAAGGAGGTAAGAGGGCAGCCTCCAGCTGACCAGCTGGCTTGGGTCCATGGCTGCAGGGAGACATGCCATCTCCCCAGCCATCCATTGGAAATGAGAGTCATCAGGGAAATTATAAGGCCTCAGTGGGACAGGCTGGGGCCTTGGGGGCTGGGACCCTCTACCAATTGACTTCAAAACCTCACTTGCCAACAGGAAGAGAGCCGCTTTCAGGCCGTGTGGCCAGGTGTCCCTTTGTCCCCAACCCCAGGTACCGTACAGAAACTACCAGGAGACTGGAAGTCATTGCAAACAGCTGAGTCCAGGCTGGAGTTTGCAGGGACTGAGATTGGGTAGAAAGAGGCTCAGAGATGTTAAAGCACTTCCCCGCATGGCTCAGCTGCAGATAGCTGAGCTGGCGCTCAGACCTGACCTTCTGGACCCTGTGGCCCACGACGCTTTCCCCTCACCCACAGTGCCTCCGAATTCACAGCCAGTCTTGTCAGCAGCAGCAAAAACGAAGGCAGGATTGGAATAGCAAAAGCTTGATGAGGAGGCAGGGCTGGCCTGGTGGCGCAGCGGTTAAGTGCACATGGTCCACTTCTCGGCGGCCTGGGGTTCACCGGTTCGGATCCCGGGTGCAGGCATGGCACCACTTAGCAAAAGCCATGCTGTGGTAGGCGTCCCACGTATAAAGTAGAGGAAGATGGGCATGGATGTTAGCTCAGGGCCAGTCTTCCTCAGCAAAGAGAGGAGGATTGGCAGTAGTTAGCTCAGGGCTAATCTTCCTCAAAAAAAAAAGGAGGCAGATACTTATTTACACATGATAGGTATCCACATTGTGATTGACCTTACTGAGCACTTAGCATGTGCCAGGCATTGTGCAGAGGGCTTTGCCTGCATCACTTAATTCATATCATACCTGTATTAGGTAGACACTGTTGTTATTGACTTTTTAGCAAAAAAGGAAACTGAGTCTTGGAACATCTAAGTAAGGTTGTAACAGAGTAAGTGATAGAGCAAGAACTTGAACTCAAGCCTGTGTGACTCCAGACCCATGCGCTTCCCCTTGCCTGGAGCCCAGGAAACGAAGGAATCTCTGGACAGGAGCAGGGGACGTTACAGGGGGACATCGTAACTGAAATATTCCCTCTGGGGCCATGGTCCTGAGGTAGCTGGGAGTGCCTGCAGTGGGCAGGGCCTGAGCCACACGTAGGGAGCAGAAACATTCCTGCCTAATCAGACTGTTATTCATCCTTGAAGACCCAGTTCAGACATCTCTACTAGAAAGCCTTCCCTGACCCTCCTCCGCCTCTCTGAGAGTTCTCTCCTACCCTTATGCTGCCTGTAAGCCTTGCACACACCATGCTTTCAGTGTTGCATTTAAGACACAGGGTGCCTTTCTTGCTATACTCTGAATGCCCGAAGCACAGAGAGTGGATCTGATTGATGACCATCCCTGCTATGTAGCATTGTGCCTGGCATGTGTTTGAATTGAGAGCCTGAGAGGACAAAAGGAAAAGACATGGTATTTAAGGAACAGCCAATGTAGTAGAGGCACCCACCCATAGCAAGAGATCTACACACTATCAAGTTCAGGAGTTGGCTAATAGAAGATCCCAGAAGGCTGTGTGGAAGTACCAAAGGAGGTTAAAGCAAATGGTAAGGAGGTGGGCCGCTGAGGCCTGGAGGAGTCAGTGAGAGTTGTCAAGGAGGCAGCAGAGTTTGGCAGAAAGGACAGGCATTCCGATAGTCAGCAGCACTGACAAGAGGCACCTTGAGTGGAGCCTGACCCAGCTCTACAAAGTGACTGTGAGTGAGTTGTTGCAGGGCACGGTACGCGGCTTTGCCAGGCTGCAGCAGCATCCCTGAGCCAAGAGGTAATAAGAAACGAGGTCAGCTCCATTACAGGGGCGAGTGAAAGGGCTGAGGGCGGGAAATCCTGTTAAAGTCAGGATTGCAATAGGGTTTTGTTACAGTCCACATGAACCCAGTCAACCTCTCTGCTAGGCAGTGAGCAGAGGATACTATGATCAATCCAGTCAAGACCTGTGTCCAGAGTTCAATGAGACACTTAGAAGCCATCTACAGGGAGCAAAGGGGAAAAGTGCTTTCAGACCCAGGAATAGAACACATCACTACTTGTGGGTCAGTAATGCCTCCGTTTTCTAGGCTCTTAAGCCAAGAGAATCTTGCAGTGCTACTTGGTTTTAATTTTTTGAAAGTAGAGACATACTAATCTCCAGAAGCAATTCTTCTACTGTCACAATTATTCAGCCAGAAAGCATTAGTGAGGCTCCATTGTGGTAACACACACTGTAAGACAGTTCTCGCTGCTGGGAGTTAGCCACAGGGAAAGCTGGAGGAGACAGTGGAGTGCAGTGGTTGGAATGTGGACCTCCTAGTCGGCAGACCTGGCGAAGCATCCAGCTTCCACCTGCACTGGGTGACCTCTCTATATCCTGTAGAAGGAGAAAAATGTGACCTGTAACATCCTTGCAGTGTTGGAAGGATTAGAACAATCTATGAAACACCTGTCGCAGTGCCTAATGCACAGAAGGACCCCATGTTTATCTGTTGTTATTATCAGAAATGGAGAACTAGGGAAATATATGTAATATTTAATTTGTACACATTTATTTTGCTTATTTCTTGTCTTTGTCAAACAGGCTCCTCGAGGACCTTGTCAATCCCTTTTATCAGATCCCCAACTGCCCAGCATATAAGGGCTTAGTAAATCTTGTTGAAAGAATGAACAGTACAGGTGCCCAGTGATGAGCCTGGACCAGGCCAGGGAAAAGGAGGAAAGGGAGACAGGCTGAGAGGTACTGAGGAGGAAGGAGAGACAGGCTGTGGCCAGGACTTGGGGAAGATCCTGACGCCACAGCAAGTATGGGCTCTTAACCATAATAGGGAAGTTGGGGAGGGGGGATGCTTTGCAATGGAGAGTGGTACTTTCATGTGGTTCTTCACCAAGTTTTAAGCAATGCTAGGCTCTAGTTGGTTCAGAGATTCAGTGTCTGTTTTCTCTGGGTTGGAAATACCACGTTCTGATGTGCTCAGAACTCTCCTCAGAAAAGTGAAAGGTTGAAACAACCCAAGGAGCCCCAAGCAGATATGGTTTAGCCAGTTACCTCTTCTTGACCACTCCCATGAAGCACCTTAATTTCTTTAATCCTCACACAATGGCTCTTTGAAGTACTGTTATCACCTCATCTTAGAATTGAAGAAACTGAGACTTGCAGTGTGAAGTCACTTGCCCAAGGACACATGGCTTTTTTTCTTTTTAAACTAGATTACTGGTTTATTTTAAAAGGATATAACTCAGGAACAGGCAAATGGAAGAGATTCATAGGGCAAGGTATGGGGAAATGGGGAGGAACTTCCGTGTCCTGCCCAGGTGTGACACTCCCCAAATCTCCACATGGTCACCAACCCGGAATCACATAGCTCTTAATTAACAAGGCAGAACCTTCCCCACAGGTGTCTGACTCTAGAGTCAGAGTTCACCACTGAGACACCATTCTGCCTCAATTGCTGTTGAAGTGACAACAGTATGTCAGAAATGTTTATTTAAAATAGTAATTGAATAAAGCAAAAGACAAAAATAGCATTTCAAACTGATCATAAACATATGAAACTGTATACATTAAGATTAGAGGCACATTTTTGAGGAGAAAGATTGAGCTTGAGGTTTTCTGGTTGGTTTGGGTTTCACAAGCAGTTGTTGAATGCCTACTATGTGCCAGGTTCTGTCTTCATGCTGAGGATACACAGGAGACTCCAGGAGCCAGGCCTTGCCTTCCGAGTTTCCACACCAACTGCTATGCCGACTGAGAAACAGGACACTACAGTATAACGTAATTGCAGATGTACTGGTGTGGAATGCTTTGGAAGCAGAAAGGAGAGGACAGGGATGACTTTATGACAAAGACAGCATTGGAATTGGGCCTCTCCCCGTGAAGAAGGGTGTTCCAGGCAGCAAAAACTGCAAGAGAGAAGGTCCAGAGGCTTGAGAGAGTGGCCAAGGTGGAGCAGGTCTGGGGCAGTGGTGGGGAGAGAAGGTAGAACAGGGGCATCAGACTCCTGAGCAGCTTGAAAGCCACACCTGGGGGACTTGAGCTTTATTCAGGAGGCAATGAAGACTCCTTGAAGGTTTTAAAGTAGGGAATCATGTGACCAGCCTTTACTACTCTTTGAGTCAATTCAAAAGTAAGGGGGAGCAACGGAGAAACAGCAGCTATCCTCCTCGTTCCAGGACTGGGAGGGGTCTCCGTTTGGAGAGTGGGGCCTGAGTGCCCCGGTAGCTTGGGTGGGGCTGGGTGGGGAGTCAGGGACTTGCCTATCTCGGGGCACCTACTGTTACCTAGGGGAGGAAAGCGCTCCTGTCTCCGGGGGCTGCACAGCCTCTCAGGCTCCTCAGAGAAGTGGGCAAGTGAAGAACAGGTGGGAGGTCTCAGCTGACTCTTGAGAACAAAGAATAATAGCCAGTGTCTGCAGAGAGCTTTTTTTATACCAAGCACTGTGCTAAACGTGTTTTGTGCTTTATCTCATTTAATCATCTCAGCAACCGTGTGAGGTAACTACTATAATTATCTCCATTTTACAGATGAGAAAGCTGAAGCCCAAGAGGGATTGGCCTGTTGTGGCCATGCTGACTGGCCTTGAATCCTAGCTCCTCCTCTCAGTAGCTGTGTGACTTAGGAAAAGTTACTTCCCCTCTAGGACTCAATTTCTCCACCTGTAAAGTGTGAAATAAACTGTACCGACTGGAAGGGTGCTGTGGGCATTCCCTAAATGCTTCCCTTTCCTAGGGTGGCACCTTTAGTTGGCGGGAGCCAAATTCAAGCTCCAATCTACCTCCAAAATCCAAATCCCAGCTTCTTTGATCTATTGCTGCTCTTGTTCAAGAAAGAGGAAAAACTTTGAAACGGGATGTTTCTGAGTCACATTCGATTCATAAGAATATAGACGAGGGCTGGCCCGGTGGCACAGCGGTTAAGTTCGCACGTTCCACTTTGGCGGCCCGGGGTTCACTGGTTCGGATCCCGGGTGCGGACATGGCACCGCTTGGCAAGCCATGCTGTGGCAGGCGTCCCACATATAAAGTAGAGGAAGATGGGCATGGATGTTAGCTCAGGGCCAGTCTTCCTCAGCAAAAAGAGGAGGATTGGCAGCAGATGTTAGCTCAGGGCTAATCTTCCTCAAAAAAAAAAAAAAAAAAAAAAAGAATACAGACGAGACTGAGAGTCTGTGGCTGAGTCCGACAAAGGCCAAAGTACCTTTGGTTCTGTCAGGCCCCTTCCTGCCTGCGCCGTGCCATGATCCAGCTCGGCCAGGGGTCTTACAGTCACTGACAAACCCTGGTGGTAGGGGCTCCACCAAGCTCGTGGGGTTACCTTCCTGCTCTCCTACCAACCCTTCTCTTCCCATTCTTCCTCTTCCCCTACCCCTAGTGAGAAAAAACGCAAGCCTGCATGGACTGACCGCATCCTGTGGAGGTTGAAGCAGCAGCCTCAGGCCAGTTCCCACACCCCCAGGCTGCCAGCCCCCCACTTCGCCCTGTCTCTGAGGAGCTACGTCAGCCACATGATGTACAGCATCAGTGACCATAAGCCTGTCACCAGCACCTTTGACTTGGAGGTGAACTTCCAGGCTGCGTGGTGCTTGGCAGAGGAGCAGCCATGCTGGGCCACATCCCCAAACCCTGTAGCCCTGGATTCTAAGTCAGCAGATCCTCCAGGGGAGACCTGGAGGAGGACATGATTGCCTTTCCTCCCAGGTCAGGTATCCCAGCTCTTCTTAGGAGCTGTTGATGGTTCTGTCTGTCAAAAATGTGTTCAGATCCTTTGTGAATAGGTTTCCATTTCCTCTTGGTACTGTCCCTTGGGGCTAATGAGTTCCATTATGCTTATTACCTACTAAGTGAAGGACAACTTCCTTTTATTTGTCCTAAACCTATCTGGATTAGGTTGCAAAAGGGAGCTCCCTCCATCCTTGTATCTTGCCATCTAATAACCAAGGGAGTGTTGACCTTTGAGCTGCTGGTTACCCTTAGCCGTCACCTTTTCATGCTGGTTTGTCTGTCTTTACACCATTGTATTCCTCCACACGCCTATAGCTGTTCTCATCAGAGCCACACCCCCACCCCCCCCCCACCCCCCTGCAAAATTGGATTTGGGCCTTTGGGTCAGGAACCCTGGTGGCCTGAGAGCAGCTACCTGGCTTCTTTCTTAAACCTGTCAGCAACTCCCCCATTCCTCCACCTTCACCCCTCCGCACCTGGCTCTCTGCTTGGTCACTCACTTGGCTGTCAGCCCCATCTTCCGTGGCAGGACCAGCCACCCCCGACAAGCCTCTGGTCCTTTCTCTTTCCAGCTGACCAACCGAGGTCTGATTCTTTCTCAGGGCAGCCTAGTGGAGTTCTGCGCCCACCCCCCTGGGGGCCCCTCCTCCCACCACTGACCCTAACCTGTTGGAAGGGTACAGTAAGGACATTCATCTCAGAGAAGGAAATGAGGCTATAGAATTTCAGCCCCTTTCCCACCCTTGTTTATAGCTGAAGCCATTGGTATCTGCCCCACTGATCACCCTGATGCCTGAGGGCCTGTGGACCATGGAGAACAACATGTTAATCAGCTACTCCTTGACCCCAGAGTTCCTCAGGAGCGCCTGGGACTGGATCGGACTGTATAAGGTGATGTGGCCGGTGAGGCAGGGAGTCCATCAGCCATACCCCTCTGGTTTATCCATCCTGAGGGCTCAGGGGAGCTAGGCACAGAGACTGAAGAACTCACCCTCGTTCACCCCAGGGGTCCTTGCCCACCTGGAAGCTGGCAGTCAAGGGGAGGGGGCATCCAGTATGATGGCCAGCCCTAGGAATGAGACCATCTTCTCCTTCAGATTTGCTGTAGGTCCTGTATCCTCCAAGACCATTAACCGCCCAATCCCCCCTCCCACAGGTGGGGCTGCGCCACATTAATGACTACGTGTCCTATGTCTGGGTCAGGGACAACCAGGTCTCCTTCAGTGACCAGCTGAACCAGGTACCTGCCTCCCTTTCTGAGATAGATATTCCACATCTCCAGCAGGTGGGCTTGCCTGAGCACTCCTCTGTCTTCTGGAAGGAACAGAGGGCTGGATAACTTGTTACTGAGAGCTGAGTGGGGCCCAGAGCAATGGAGCTCACCGCATTCCTGTCCATCCCCCCCTCCAGGTGTACATCGATATCAGTGATATGCCTGAGACTGAGGATCAGTTTCTTCTCTGTTATTATAGCAACAATCTACATTCTGTGGTGGGGATAAGCAAACCCTTCAAGGTAGGAGATGCTGGTGGGGTCAGGGGAAGGGTGTCACAGAAGACTGGAGCCCATCATTGGTTCCCTGAGGCCAGAGGCCTAGGAGCCAACCCGCATGGCGGAACCGCATCAGTTGGGGAATGGGAATGATGGCACGGAGGAAAACCTGCTCTTCTCCCTTCCACTCACTGCTTGTTTTATTCCTGCAGATCCAGCCTCGCTCCTTCTTGGGGGAGGATCTACTGGATGAAGCCCAACCACAGTTCTGAGCCGGGATAAGTGAATCCAGGGCGGAGGCCAGAGCTGGCAGCCAGCTCTGCCTACCACTGCCAGGAGCGCTGGGGACCCAGCCCAGCTCTCTGAGGACGGAGCAAGTATCCTCCACCTCCCAGAGGGAGCTCTAGCACACTCCTTTGCTCTCTCCAGTCCAGATCTTTGGAATCGGCCACTTAAATACAGGTTTTTGTTACTGAGATGTGAGTGAAACCAGGTAGTTTGTCAACAGTGAAGACCTGGGGATAGTCCACCAGATGTGGGAAGGACCCTCTAGCCTGCATCTCATTTCTTGATTTTTTCCCCCACGCACTTCAAGTCCCGCCCAAGCAGGCCTGCCAGGCACATGCCCCATCTGGCACAGGCCTGCATTCTTGTCACGCCATCCTGGGCCTCAGGCTGCCTAGGAGGGGGAGATACATTTGTACAGGCTCCATAGACTGGTTGGCACAAGCAGCACTGGGTTGCAGGAGTCTTGGCATCTCGTTGCCTGTCCCCCTAGGGGTGATGGGCAGAGAGTCTGGGCCCCTTGCTTTCAGCAGAAGCAATATGACTAAGTGGGCAGGATGAGCATCCCTCCACCCAGGCTCTTAGGTAGGGTTGTGGACAGGTTGATGAGCGTCCTTCTGCCATCACCCCCTTGCCTCCATGGAGTCTGACCCAGGGAGTCCAGGGCCTGAGCAAAGAATTGGACCCAGGTTCACTTCTGCTGGTGGGTCAGGCTCCATGCCCCTAACCTGCCTTCTTCTGAAGGGTCGGCCAGGTGGTAGAGGAGCTCTGGCCACAGACTTTTCCAGGGTGGTTCTTGCCCAGTTGAGCTCATCTACCCCTCTGCTTGCCTGCAGTCATTGGCCAGAAACCTACCCTCTGTGTAGACTGCTCTGGGACCGAGAGGTGGGGGCAGGCAGAGAGCAGAGCCAGAATCAAGACATTTTGGAGAATCTGGCCCGGGGGGGTCTTCACAGAACATTCTCCAGGTGCTGTGTGGACTCTGTCTGTCCCCACTCCCACCACTCGCCTCCAGTTACCGGTGACTCAACAGCCGTTCTCCCAGGAGAAGACACCTCAGGGAGCCTGCTCTGTGACTCTCACATTCATACTACGACCTGAGACTGAGGGACACTCTAGTTGCTCTACATTCTGTACTCCACCCAGGGAGCCATGTTTACCATCAAGAACTGTCCTGGGCCAGCCCCTGTGGCCTAGTGGTTAAGTTTGGCATGTTCTACTTCAGCAGCTCAGGTTAGCTTCCCAGGTGTGGACCTAGACCACTCATCTGTCAGTGGGTGGCCATGCTGTGGTGGTGGCTCACATACAAAAAGAGGAAGATTGGCAGTGGATGGTTAGCTCAGGGCGAATCTTCCTCAGCAAAACAAAAAACAAAAACAAAAAACTGTCCCCCTAGCTTTAGAGGGCCATGGCTGTCTGTGTTCTTTGTCTGTTGCACTGGGGCATAATTAGAATCATGGCTTTTACACTTGCGTGTGACTCCTTCATGATGGTGGGGAGAGGGGGCACATGGTGATGGGTGCTTGCTAGACTCTAGGACAAGGGCCCTGTAGATCCAGACTAGAGTTTCTCTGTCTGAGAGAGGCAGATATTGTCTGGGTAGGAATGGGATGAGGTTCTGGGATGGTGGCCCTCTGGGTCCCTGGCCCAATGGGGCATGCCACCTATGCTTTTGGTCACTTAGTTTATTCTGCTGCTAAGTAGAATGAGTTTCTTGGAACTGACAACTCAGAAAAGGTGCTTACTCTGCTCTCACTGGTCCATCCCTCCTCACCTGCCACTCCCTCACACCTTAGCTTTGAGCATTGGTCCTGGGTTAAGTTATCCAAATATGTCACCATCTTTTCTCTCTGTCCCACCTCTCCCCAGATACCCCTCCCCCGAGGTCCCCATTGTAACCTCTATCCCTGTCCCCCCCCACACACACACAGCTGAGGAACCTTGAGCCCTCGAACTTGCCCACCTCATTCCTTCTCACATGCACAACCATCATGGGTGCTGCCACACGGCACCCTTCACTTGGCAGATGGGGAAACCAAAGCTCAGAGAAGTGGGATGAACCCTCCAAAGTTAGGCACCTGTGGTGGTATGCAGTACCAGAAGCAGGAATGGGGTCAAGACCTGGGTTTGCATCAGTTCCATTTCTACCCACATAGCAGTCTCAGTTGTCTGTAAAATACAAATAATGTACCTATTCACAAGATTATTGTGAGAGGACAACTGCAAAAATCCACAAAGCAACCCTAGGCCTACCTCCTCATTCTGGTGAGTGTAGCCCTGGGGCTGGCTCTCAGGACTCCCGACTCCAGGGCTCCCCCATTTCTCCTGCTCTGGAGCATTCTTGTCCTCCACGTGCCCACCTCTCCCCTTCCTCCTTAAGTCTTCACACACCCCTACCCCTGCCTCCTGTTGCAGGGCCTTCCTTGCCTGGGAGGGGTGAGTCCAGCAGTGTTTGAGAGGCGGAAGGGGAAGGGGGAGTGCTCTCTCTCCTCTTGGCCCCAGTCAGGATATGGCCGCTCTGGGCCCAGCCCTGACCCACTGGGTGGAAACAGGAAATATGTGAGACTCAGTGTGAGCTGGGTCTCTGCGCCTGGCTCCGAGGCTGATAAGGGCCATTGTGTGGCTGCCGGGGATGAGCCTGCCCTGGATAGATGTGCTTCCCGGAGGAAGGAAGGAAGCTTTGCTGGCCTTTCCTGGGCGGGGGAAGCCGTGGGGAGGGAAGGAAAGGGTGCCTGGGGGAAGGTGCCTGCCCTGCCAGGGGGCTGTCAAGGCCAGCGTAAGCCCACTGGCCTCTGCCCCTCCCATGCCAGTGTCTCCCTCTGGAAAGATCGCTTTCCCTCATTCACTTCCCCCTTCTCACTTCCTATAAGGAATGGCTGGAGACTCAAGGGCTCAGTCCCAGGCCAGGAAAGTGTCAGCTGTGATTTAGCAACAATTAAAACAGAAAAACAGGAACATTTGGGGTGGAGGGCACGTGAGGGTACTATGGAAAAGCAAGAAGCAAACAGGGCTAAGGCTGTCCACAGCCAAGGAAGAAACCAGGGACCAACCTCCCAAGCGTCTGAGGCTCCAGAGGAGGGTGGGACAGGGGCCTCCACACAGAGTCCTCCTGCCTCTCCAGCCAAACCCCTCTGCCTAACATGGCCAGCCCCCAACAGCCCTGGCCTCTCAAACTCAAGGGGCTCACCTGCTGCTGTGGGAGGCAGGCAGGCTCGGGGGACATGAAGGGGGGGCAGTGCCTGTTGATGGTTCCTTTTGGCTTAGGGCAGGATGTGCGTTCTGGTTTGGGGAGTGGTCACTGTGCTCTCCAGTTGTCACCAGTGAGTGGGCAGCGAGAGAGGCAGGCCATGGAGCTGCTGGGGGGAAAGGCCTCCTATCCTTTGACCTGGAGCTCAGGGTCCCCCATAGTAGCTGCACTGCATCAGCTCCTCTGGTTACCTGGGACAACAGGCATTTCCTCCATCCCTCAGCCCCTCCTCTTCCTGCCCCAACCCACTGGGCCAAGAGGCCTCCCAATCAGACCTGGGCTGCTCCAGCTGTGTCCTGAGGAGCTGGACCAGACACATCCCCTGGGGCTGGAGTTGAAGCTGAACCAAGTGGCCATCCCAGCGTGAGACCAGATTCCTGGCTCCAGGAGCAGCAGGAGCCAGTGGGCAGACAGGCAGGCTTTTGCTCAGAGGCCCCAGTGCTCAGCACGCTGGCTATCCACAGGCGGAATGGCGCTGCAAGTGGAGCTGATACCCACCGGGGAGATCATCCGCGTGGTTCATCCCCACAGGCCCTGCAAACTTGTAAGCTGGGATGCTCTGGGCTGGGAGGAAGGGTGGCAGTGTCTCCATAGGGCCCAGCAGCCCCTTCTCAAGCAAACCCCTTGGGAAAGTGGTGAGCAGTGGGGGAGGGGAGGGAGAGTTCTGATCTTTGGCAGGACAGGAACAGACTGGATAGGAAGGGGTAAGGGTTTAAGTACCACTAGGAGAAGGTTTCTCAGGGCAGGAATCTGAGTTTAAATCCCTTCTTCTCCGGTTCCCTGATCCTCAGTGGGCTCTGAACTGTGCAAAACAACACCCAGGTGACAGGGCTGCTCTGAGGTCAAAGGACTAGTGCTTGTAAAGCTCCAGGAGCATACTACAGGCTAAGTTAATGCCTCGCCTTTCCACGTCTGGCCCAAAGAACAGGGACTGACCAACTCAGAGTAGGAGCGTGCAGGGGCTGGGGAGCTGGGGCTCGGGGTGGGGGACAAACGGAGAGAGGTAGTCACAAATGGGCGAGAACTGACCTGGCCCGGCATGCAGGGAGGGTCAGGTTTGCTCTGAGGATGCAAAAGGGCCCTAGGATAAGGAGCGAGAGAAACCCATCAGTTGCGCCCACCCACCCAGCACTGCAGTGAGTGGGCCGGGTCTTCGGCAGGAGGAGGGTGCGCGCGCGCGTGTGTATGTGTGTGACAGTGACGTGCCTCGTCTAGGAACTGGTTGCGGAGTGTGCGGCACCAAGTCTCCGCGGACGCGGGCCGGGGCCAGGGCCAGGGCCAGGGCCAGGGCCAGGGCCAGGGCCGCCGGGGCGGGGCGGGGCCGGAGGGTGCGCGCGCGCGCGCGCCGGGGCCTGGGCCCTGCCCGGGATGACGACAGGCAGCGGCCCGGCCCCGGGCGGGCCCTGGGCGGGGAGAGCGTGCCAGGGCCGCGGACTGAGGAGCCGGCCACGCCGCCCAGCCTGGCCCCCGCCCGCGCACCCGGAGAACCGAGCCGGTGGGTACTCGGGGCCAGGGTGCCGGGCGGGCAGCAGCCGCGTGGCCCCAGGAGGCCTCCGCTGGAGGGCGGGATGAGGGGAAAGGGCAGGGGGCCCGCCGCCGAGCCAGGCCCCGAGCTACCGGGGGTCGCTGGGGCCGAGGGTCAGCTCGCCCTGGCCGGTACGGGGTCCCAGGACCCGGTGGCCCCAGGACTCGGCGTGGTGGAGACTGAAGATTACTTGCGGGTAACGTGAGCGCGGGAAGGAGCGGCTGAGGTCCCAGTACCCAGGCACCCTGCGCTCCCTCTGGGCCCCTGTACCAGCCTGGCTGTGTCTATGGGTTCCGGAGAAGCCGCCCGGGCCCCGCCCCTTCCCGTTCTCCGCCCCTCGGGCCCCGCAGCACTGGGGGCCTCTGCGCACCAAGGCGCATGTGAGTGTGGCAGATGGGGGGCTACGAGCTGAATGAGAGAA